ATGGCTAATGTTTGCATTAGAGGTAATGAATGGTCATTTTGATTTGTTGAAATCTATATCTCCTCAGCCATATGCATGGTATTGCTTATAGCAGTTTGGAATTAAGCTTTATAATATTGTTTAAGAAAATTGCATCCTATGTTTTCACTTTACTTAAAGCCATCAATGATGCATTTATATAGGTTAGTAACTAGTAGTAGTACTCACAATAAGCATTTATAAGAACTCAACACAGCTGTTAATAACAATATATTCACTTATTTGACAGAAATACGTCTGAATTACTAAAAAGTCATTGTAACTAATATATTAACATTATAGCAATACAGGTTGCATCTTTATAGATACATTCATGGAACCACACGGCTGACTAATTAATACTTATAAATCAGTTTATAATGGATTATGAACATGCGCATTGAAAAAGAAAATGCATGACTTATAGGTAATTAGAAAAATAATATAAATGCAAATATAACTGTTCTTATAATGCAGTATAGGTCTTAATGAGTCTTTATAAATATGTTTATAAAATGGTAATACTTATTTATAAATACGTATAAATGGAGCTATAATTCATTATAAGCATGGTCTTCATAGAAAGTGTTACCAAATATGCAATATGAGTATTCATCTTGAAATAAATGTAAAATGTTCTTTTACATTTTACTTATAAAAATCAGTAAAGATTTCACAGCACAAAAAAACACATGTCCCACGACCTGAAGGTGGACCCTTTTAGAATTATACTAAAAGGCCTTTTACTTGCTAAAAATGATAAACTATCAATCAGATGACAGAAGGCATGCAGTAGATTACGTACAACTGGGTTTTCAGCCATGTTTTGATCAATTTGATAATTATAAGCCTTAGAAAATTACATATCAATTATGATACATTAAAGGGTTAATACTGTATATTCAAGAAATCTTTTGCATCTGGCGGATTGTAAACAGTGTAAATGTAACACAATCACAGACTCCTTCTAACATTTAAGGATCCTGTTATATTACAAGCATGTATTGTTTTCAAAGGGAACTGGTGGACTGACACCCGACTGGAGGCAGCTGCTTATGATATGTGAGTTGTGACATGAGCAGACAGCGGTTTGCTGGAGGTGCTCAACCACGGCGTGTGTATCATCTGTCTCTAAGATCACTATCACCTTGCTGGAGATGAGGCCTGTAGACTTCAATCCCACAGATGGAATGGCTTGTAATCTAAACTCATAACCAAGACATTTTTGACCAATGAACTTCCCTGGCTTTTCAGTCATTCATAATTGCGATAAAGGCCCATTTACACCAAGAAAGATAGCTACTGTATAACTACGATTACCTTCCAACAATATCGTTCCTCCATGTCGTTATTGGTATAGTTAAAGTTGTGTTGTGGAGTTAATTTCATAGAATTAGAACGATTAGTTAAACTGTATAGTTATCGTTATAGTTCTTCCCTTTTCAACTAATGCCACTTGCGTCTCACAAGCTACTGGATAAAAATAGCCAAGTAGATATTCAGTATTCAGATATTCAATATTTTACAACAGAGCATAGACAAAAAAACTTTTTTTTTTCTTTTTTACAACAGAAATCTCCGTGACTTTTCCATTAATATTTTTAAGAGTGTTCAACAATTGGAAATTTACCATTTTTTAAATTCTCAGATTCTCCAGGTTTCCATGACATACAAATCTAATAAATAAAAGCACTAAATTAAACAAACAAACAAACCAATGTTATTCTAAAATGTATAAAGTATATACCTAAAATCTTGCAATAGGTGTCAATTTGGGTCAGTGGGTCTCATTCACTAATAATTGCGTAGATTATTCGTATTTATGCACAGGAGAACTTTTCAGGAAAATTTCTGCCTAATTCACAATATGTGCATACAAACATGAAGTTGTTCGTAATCTCATAACGTTAATGAATTTGGAGTATTCTGAGCAACCACATGCTCAAGATAAGTAATTTGCATAAAACACACCCAATCATCTCCATATAACGGCATTCTGAGCAATCTTACATCACAGCAAACAGATTATGCTCTCTAAGGATGTTTTCATGCCTAAGAGCAAACACAGCAAGAAATATGAGTAATGCCAAGTGTGTCATCTTCAAAACCAGATTAACACCTTTTATACAGACCTATAGATGATTGTTGTTTGGACCTCGAGCACACGTTCACTCATTTTGGATATTCCGAATTGACATTAAAAGAAGGTTAGGAACAAATTAATGCATGTACACACGTGAATTAGGCCAACATTTTCAGTTCACTGTTTTTATTAATACTAATCAAAAAGTCAACAGAACAGAGCCAGTGCAGTGCATTCTCAGATCAAAATCATGTGCGTTGGTTGGGGGAGGCTGATACGTTAAAGAGTTATCTCTCTGGAAAGTTGTTTTATTAGCAGAAAGCAGAAGGTTATACACTCAACACCATCTGGAGACATGGCAAGGGAAGCTGCTGTACTTCAATAATCAACCATAGAGAATGACATCAGATATACAGAAAAAGCAAGTGCGCATACTCGCTTGTCCTAATCATTTAGTCAGCTTCAGGTATTTAAACTGCTGGGAATCTCAAGCATTCTCCCAGAAGCATTCAGACCCTTACCAAAAAGTAGTATACTTCAAGTTTATTTGAGTAAGTATACTTAAGTAAAGTTCAAGTATATTTTTAAGTATACTTTATGTAGTAAGTATACAAATATCAGTGTACTAGTAGTATACTTGTAAGTGTACTATTTCA